TACTGAAAACTTTGAAAGTGCTGGTAAACTTTCTACATAAAAAAGTAAAGAATTTATGTCTGCTTAGCTTCGCCTCTGCTTCTTGGTAGCTATTCCCATTATTCAGAGACTAACTCATTATCTGATTTTTTCATACATTAGCTGGAAATATTTGTTGTAACCACATTACTCAGAAGACAAGTCCACAGTCCAGTGACAGGAAGCTTTGACACACTGCAGTTACTGTGCATCATGGGAATGATTTACAGTTCAAGAAAAACCTGACTAGTAAGCAGTGCACCATTATTCACAGCTGGACTGTGGGCTTGAAGCAAGCCTGTTAAAACCAGACATCAAATACCAAAAGGGCTCTCCAGAGACAGGCAAACCCACAGTGCAAAGCTTAGCACCTTTTCAAGAAGAATTGTAATATGGACTTAGCACAATCTTAACCAGGATGCACCTACCTTATATTGAAAATATAGAATCCAATCAAACACCTAATTTAAGCATTTACACTTGTGCTGAGTGAGTGCAAAGTGGATATAAAATGCTAACCCCGAGGTAGACAAGGGAAGAATTCAGATTTGGAATTAGTTTTAGGCAACAGAAGGCTCAAGGCAGTGAATCATCAAACTCTCAGCACACAGCCATGTATAATATAAATATATGCCCATTAAAATATATGCTGGACTTATTGGGAGGGAAGGTAAAGGAAAGGGGGCTTAAAGTTCCTTTTATAAAATAATCTATATGAAAATGTCAGTGAGACCATACCAGTCTGCTCTGTAATTAGTGACCAGAGAGGCAGAGAAGTTACATTTCAAACACAGAGGCAAGGAAATAATTTCTTCTCCCAGAAAGCCACCAGGGCCACTCAAGGCTACTACATCCTCTAGACCCTTTTTTACAGAATATAGCACAGGCAACGTTACTGATGGAAAAGCTAAACTGATCTAGCATCCTAAGCATCCTGACATTGCTTTATTAACTATTCAAACGTCTGGTCATTTTTCTGTAGTAACTTCTATTGGAAAACAACTTGTGATACTTCTGAGAAAACAAATGGAAATCACCGTAAGGCAGATCCTCAGCTGGTTTAAATCAAAGTCAATACTGAGTACTATCAGAGCTGAGTTGCTTTTAGAAATAAATGAATCATTATTGGCCTTACCAAGAGCAGCTAATGTAGTCTTCTGGTCAGGATATACAATCTCTGGACTGAATCTCTTTTCTTGGTCTGCCAAGATTGAGAGAACAATAGCTATGGGTGAGTGCAATAGGCAATCTAATCAACTGACAACAACCACAAAATGAAGTGAGCCATTTAGTATCGCTTGTGTTCCACCGGAAAGCATTCTGTGATACCATTCCCAATGCACAATTATGGTTTCCTGGGAAGGGACACAAGTTAGGGAACATTGTTACAGGATGTGCTTAGACTCCAGTCTTGATGCCAAAAGTATTAGAATGTGGTGGGAAGCTTCAAAGGGAGATGTGACTAAGTGGGGAATTCCTGCCAGATTAGGTGGCCCCACTGATAGAGTCCACTCTAATGAGCAATTAGTTTCAAGCTCCCAGCACATCTCCTGCCAAACTCAGAAGAGCACAGAATGAAAAAGGCATGGGATGTGAGCAGAGGCACAAACGTTTGAGGAGACATCAGGTCAAGCATGAGCCTCAGCATCCAAATAAACCCCTTAGCATCATATATACTCCTCTTTACACTTTGCTCCTGCTATTAAGGAGCTGTAATCGCAAAGCCCTGACACTCCATTATCATTCATGCACTGTTTCCTCTGCACAACTTTTGCCACATCCTTTCAGCACAGTGCTTATATGCACCATGCAGATTATCAGAACATACAGTATGGCAACTACTGAAGAATTGCGTCTATGCAGATTACCCAGACCACTCTTCATAGGATCAGTGAGGGATTAAATTGCAGACCACAGTCTGACAGGGACTAGTCAAGCAAGGAAGGGTGTAAGGGTTTGAGCCATGTGCAGGGTCAACAGAACAAATGCAGAGCTTTGTCTTTTGATCTTTGCAAATTCTAAACAATGTAAGTGGAACACGCCTGCCCTCTGTTGTCTGGACTGTGTAAGGACATAGCACTAAATGAATAATCTTGGAGGGGTAGCCGTGTTAGTCTATCATTTCAAAAACAATGAGTAGTTCTGTGGCGCCTTAGAGACTAAGGATCATGGGGTTTCAAAACCCACTTCTTCAGATGAGCTGGGGTGGAAATACCTTGCATTGTGTTAGGGTACGTCTAGACTACATGCCTCTGTCACCAGAGGCATGTAGATTAGGCTACCCAACACAGTAAAATGAAGCGGCGATTTAAATAATCGCCGCTTCATTTAAATTTACATGGCTGCCCTGCACCTGGATGCGTGGGTGTCGACGTCAAAGGTATTTGTCGACCACCCAGGTAAACCTCCTGGGATGAAGTTTACCTGGGTGGTTGACAAATACCTTTGATGTCGGCAGGGGAGCGTCCAGACTATCGCGCTCAGCGTGGCAGCCATGTAAATTTAAATGAAGCGGCGATTATTTAAATCGCCGCTTCATTTTACTGTGTCGGGTAGCCTAATCTACATGCCTCTGGCGACAGAGGCATGTAGTCTAGACGTACCCTTATTTTCACTCCTACTCATCTGATGAAGTGAGTTTTACCCCAAAAAGCTCATGATCTTATATATTTGTTAGTCTCTAAGGTGACACTAAACTAAAGACTGCCCTCATGCGTATTTAGTGAAGCAGGCAAGGTGATTTGTATCATTTTACAGAAGAGAAAATGAGCTTAATTAATAGGGAATGGTGGGAAAAGACATTTAATTAAATATTACATTTCCTAAGCCCTCTGAAGACATTTGCATGGACTCTTGTGACAAATTGTAATGATGGGCACTTTTAACATATGGTTCTATGCTCCAGAAATGTGCTGCTTAATCCCAGTGCTAGCTCAACTGCAAGCCAGACAAACAGCTGAGCTGAGCAGTGCCTAGGTTTTTTTGTGAAACTGTTTTGGACCATTATTAAAACAAGCAGCATGCATGCTGCTTCAATATCTCAGTTTCCCGGACAGCTAACCAACAGCCACAGTGAAATATGTAAATGTAGTTCCCTTCTGTACATTGTATTGGCAAAGACCATTCTGGCCAAATGTTTTGTTAAGTACTGCACCATCTCAAGCAGGAAGTACTTACCCAAAGTCTGTAGCTGAATAGTTCTGGTGATGTTATACTGTGCACCTCCATAGGTAAAAGCCATTTCACAGGTGTAATAGCCAGAATCTCTTGATGACACTGAGTTGATCAAGAGAAAGCTGGTGTTTTTCAAGCTTTTGAATTTTGCATTGTCTTTATCCACAGGCACAGAATCCTAGAGAAATAAGAGCAATCACATGGTAAAAATAGGTGAAGTTATAATGAGCCCCTGGATTTGATTTTTGGTGGAAACTTTGGGGGTACTTATTCTCTTATCTAAGATTTTATATCACATTTAGGATGTATCTGACCATCTCTGTTTCACCATCTGTAACACTTGTGCTCCTTTAGAGGTGAGAATTGCAAAGCTGAATTCATCAGTAATTGTAAAACACTTTGTGATCCACCAATGTGAGGCCCTCCCTCTGTGAAGGGTGATGTATAGTTATAATTAACATTATTTTCAAATGTTATTTTAGACTATGCATGTTGGCTAAAGGGAATACATAATGAACTTCTTTTCACAATCTCCTTTCATAAAATCCTGTAGGAGATACAAAACCATCTTAGCAATCATACCATCTTCCCATGCACCATATTATTTTCCCTTGCCACTTCACCCAAGATCTGACATTTTCCAAGATGTTATCACTGATGCGCTGTTGAACTTTGCTAGCTACCAGTGTGTTCTCTTCCACTCTGAACAGACCTATTTTTTCTGTCTGCCATGTTATTAATCATGCTGTACAAGTTGAACCTCTCTAGTTGGGCACCCTCAGGACTGACCCGTGTTAAACCAGAGAATTTGCTGAACCACAAGAGGTCAGTATTGTCTAGCAGCATTACTAACACGTCCACTGCTTACTGGGCTCTTAGAAGACATGTAAATTAGAGCTAAAGAACAGCACAAAAGACTTAGAGCCAGGACTGGCAGCTGTAAACAAGCTTTATGGGACCCTGGGACTCATGATAAGTGGACATCCAGCTAACTAAAATCATGCCAGGCCACAGATGTTGCTGGTCCAGAGAGTGCCAGACTAGACTGGTTCAATCCATGTTACTGAACTTTATGTTTCCTAGGCAAGTAAACTGTAGCATGTTTCTCAGATGAAAGCTGGACAAAAAGACTTTACTATTATGATTTCAACCTCAATAAAAACAACACCTTGTAAAACCAACCTAATCACCCACGTGCTTTATTTACTGTACAAGTAGTTACTGCCAAGTTTCAAACTGTGCAGAATGGACTCCTGGGTGAAATGATTATCGCCATTGACTTGAGGCATTAAAACAAGAAGGTGGTAAATAAGTAATGCATTTTGCATAAGCTCAACATGCAACTAGCAAGCCAAAGAGACTTCTCACATAAAAGAAGACAGTGAGAAGTAGGGTTAGGGCCTGAGTTAGGCAAACTCTGAAACAGCTCAGGATGTTCCACCTTGTGCCGTAAATCCAGGAATAAGCCGCAATGGTCAGACATTTTACAAAGAAGCCTTAATTGCTGGATCCATATTTCCCTCCTTGCTAGCTGTAAAGGGATGAGGTAGGAGATCTTAATAAAATTATTTGGAATAAAAATGGAAGCTAAAGGTCGAGAGGGATAACTTAAGTCCACTTCTGTGCCTCATCATCACTCAGTTAAATAATCTTTTAAATGGCCATTTTAATAATTATCCAAGTCTTTGTTTCCTTTTCATTCTCTCATCTCCTTGTCTTTTTTCCTCTGTGTCTCTCTTGCCAACCCATTCCACAATGCCTCCATCTTTCCTCCAAACTCACATCTCCAGGAAGTCCACATAATATACATCCTTCTCTTAGAATGTTCACCAAAATATCTATGGAACTAACAAAATATGCCGACCTTCCCTGATCATTTATTCACTTGTAGTATTTCTTCCCCAGCCTTTGCTTGTATATTTTCTATTCAGGCCCCAGTCCTGCAGCTATTCATGGATTCATCTACAGTTCAGAATTTATAGGGTGTTAGAATATATATTCTCTGAGACAGGGTCCTTGTCTGTAAAGCACTGTGCTGTGGGGCAATACAAGCATCAAATCCTAAAGCAAAACAAGAGGGCCTGTAAAAAAAAGGCAGTTTCATATCTTGAAGTTTAAAAAAAAAACACCACCTGTGAGGTAGAAATACCGATTTTATAAAAATACTCAGAACAGTCTGTCCTGTCTTCTCAAAGGAGAATCAAGTGAGATTTTTGTTCTAAAGAAAAGGAAGAGCTTGGCTAAAAACTAAGGGTATGTCTGTGCCATTATAGAACACCTGTGGCACCGAGTCTCAGAGCCTGGGTAGCTAACTCAGGATTGCTGGGCTTGGGCTGCAGGGTTGAAAAATAGAAATCTAGGCATTTGGGTTTGTGTTGGAGCCTGGGCTCTGAGACCCTCACCCCTTGCAGGTCTCCAGACCAGGTTCCAGCTGAAGCCCGAACATCTACTCTGCTATATTTAGTCCTGCAGCCAAGCCCCACAAACCTGAATGAAATAGAGGCAGCAAAGGTGTGGGGGGAAAGGAATACTTCAAAGTGGCAGTGCTGCTGTGCAGTGCTGCCACTTTGAAACCCCAAGGCGGCAGCTGCACAGCTGATCCTGGGATTATCTGTGTGGCAGGCTGTCCATATAAAATGCCACCTCTGCAGGTATTGAAAGGGGCAGCCCTGGAGCCCAGGGTCAGCTGGGGATTCCCAGTTAATCCCGAGCTCCCCACAGCATTTCCCCAGAACCCAGGATCAGCTGGGAACTCCCCAGTTGATCCCAAGTCCTGGGGAAATGCCGGGGGAGCCCGGGGTCAGCTGGGGTGTCCCCAGATGATCCTGGGCTCCCCTCCTGCCCCTTTGAATCACGAGGAGGCAGCAGTTTCAAAGGGAGAGCAGCTGCTCTTGTACATTTCAAAGGAGGAATGCGGAAATGCTTATCGACTAATCGACAGAAATTCCGTCGACTAGTCAATTAACCGCATTTTAACATTCTCAGTAAATACCGGGAAGGGTGAGGAGCCATGTGGGCACAAGAATAGATGGATATAAAATAGCCATGAACAGATTCAGGCTAGAAATTAGAAGGCTGCTAACCATCAGAAAGATGTGATTCTGGATTAGTAGAAGTTATGGGGGCAAACAACTGCATCAGAGTGAAAATAGAGCTGGACAAATGTATGAGTGTGATTGTAAATCAGGGTTTCTTGTGATAGTAAAGGCAGGGCTTGGCAGCCCTAAGGGCCCCATCTAATTCATGTTTGATGTTTCTAAGAGTTCATGATTCAGGGCTTCAGTCAGTCACCTGCAAAGGTTACCAGGGAATTATCCTTTTCTTCCTCCCTCCCCCTCTTATGTATTCTGGGGACTATTTTTTCTGTCTCCTTCCTCTGAAGCCTGAGAGGGTCCCACAGCTAGAGATGGGACACTGGACAGGGTGGGTTGGTGCCCTGAGGTGGTTCTAAGTATTCTCTCTCTCGGGCACTTAGCTCACTGGTTCATGCTCATATGCTCAGTGAGGAAGAATTCAACCCCCTCCCCGTTCAGATTAGGAAGAACCTTGATTGACTGATTGATCAATTGATTGATTTTTTGCCTTCCTCAGCAGCACATCCTTGCCAGGATTATCTGGGGATATCTCTTAGTAGATCAATTTTCTGACACAGGAGTCTTGGGCATTGGGTACCCCTGTTTCCATCTGTTCTCTGCCTGTGACACATCATCATCTAATCTCCTATGAACTTCAATACTTTAGTCTAATTTCAAGTGTTGGGTTTATTGCCCAGTTGCTGAGTGGTAGAGGTGATTTGTGATACACAAGACAGGCTACATGATTCTATGGTCCCTTCTGGCATTAAGCTCCATGATTCTGACTCTTTAGAAGGGGTAAAAGTTCTACCTTGTACCATTTTAGCTCCAAGTCTGTTTCCTTTTGTATGAAATCCCCCAGATCAGGACAAACAAGTTTTCCAGAAGTAAACGTGAAGAGAATTTGAGGATAGGAAATCTCGTGGGCAGCAGTTTTCTGAATAACTGTCAGGTGAATGGAGATATCAACACAGTAGGAGGAATTCCTGCAAGCATATGAAGCACAGATGTTAACAACTGTGCCCCCACATACAAGGGGAGAAATGTCATGCATTCAGTGCTTATACAGGGTGCCTGATTGAAAGTCCTAGACACCAAAGTCCTCAGCTAAGCTATAGAACCAACACAGCATGGGCAGTGCACGCTCTCTCATATTGTCAATCTGACGTGACTCAGCTCTGAGGTGACAGATATCACTCTAACTTCCATACTCCTTTGCTTTTTAGCCTCTGATCCAATGTCATAAGTAATCCTGTCAAAATACAGGTAACAGTCTCATTTCTCTTCATACTGACCATAAGTCATTCATCCAGAACTCCAAGGTCTAACTTTACCTATTATTTATTTCCACTGGGCCAGACAGATTGCATTGCATTTTGGTGGCATAGTGATTGCTGGGATAGTTTAAACATGTTATGTCTTTCTTGTCATCAACAAGTTAAGGTTACATTCTGGGAACACCTCAGTCAGCACAAAGGCAGGGTTGTCAATGCTTACAGTAGGGGACTGATGGTCAGGACAGCTAGGTTCTAATCTCTACTGGTGACCTTGAACAGGTCAGTTAACTTCTTTGTACCCTGCTTTCTCCCAGGCTATGTCTACACTACAATGATCTCTCAGAACAAGGTACAGAAATTGTGCTCCGCAATTTGCATACCTTTTTCTGATAGTTTTTTCAGAAGAAGCTTTTCCGAAATTTGGGCCAAATTGTCTACACTGGGCCAAATTTCGAAAAAGTCTCCTCTTTCGGAAGAACCCTTCTTCCTCATGGGAGGAGGAAAACAGGGCTTCTGAAAGAGCGCGTCTGCTCTTCCACAAAAAAAAGCGGAAGCGTAGACACATTCCCTGAACCTCCGGTATCCCTCTGGTACACCTCTGGTATCCCGGAAAAACCCCGTAGTATGGATATAGCCTGAGTAGCCAGTTTCTGGTAAGTCTTAGTCAACACTAGGTCATGAGCAGGGATTCGGGGAAGTTACTGGTATTGGAAGAATGAATGCTTTTTGGCAGTGGGTATTTATTTTAGAGTTCAAGCTTTTTCTTTTGAACGCTGAATTTGTTGTGTTCACTGAGGTCATCTTTCCTGGTTAATCCTGCCTTGCAGGCAAAAAAGAGTGTATTCTGCTAGACAACAGCAGCTCTGATGTGAACTGTGCTTCTGCTCCCATTCACTTCAATAAGTGCTCAATGGTACATTGCAGGTGTTGGTGCCTATCAGTGGCAGTCTAAAAAAGGAATATGAAATCTGAGACCGAGCAAGCATTAAAAACATGGCTGCTGCTGTTTTATCATTAACAGGCATTTATAGGGTGACAAGTGTACACAGTGCTTTACAAAGCCTAGAAAGATGCCATCCCTGCATTAAAGTATTTATAGTATATAGTACCTCCTTCCCATTTGACCCAAGGGGGCTTTTGTTTATGTACATTTTAAAACAGGGGACTTTCCATACATCCTACATCAATTGGATAGATTGACTGACATTCTCTGTGTCCATCCCGATGGAATTGTTCACTTTAGGTCCTAGTTTTACATCCCATGTAACAATTTCATAGTGGTGGTTAGCTTCCAACTCAGAAGATTGAACAAAAGAGCTATTTGCCTATTGCTGTTTTAAGCAGATAAATTGCTTCAGGATAAAATATCTGTTAAGGTGTTCTGTAAGTTCACAGCTCCAGCAAATTTACCTGTGAGACCCTAATATTGCAAAACACTTAAACGTACTTGCCATAACTTTATGCATAGGGATTAGTATCACTGATGAAAAAAAAATTCTAGATCTGCTTGCAAGACTGGGACCCATTCTTTTGCAATGTTCAGGCTCTTACATTCACCCACTGCTGTTTGTTGCAGCATGCATAACTGCTAATATTGTTGTGTCATTATAGTGTTGCCCATATAGCTATAAGCCATAATAAATGCTAATCAGTATGAGATTGCCAGTCAGTAGCAAAATAATTGCTAATCAGGCGGAGGTGGAGAGCTGTAATAGTCTGCAAATACCCTCATTTCACAGAGCACTGAAATATATGATAAATTCCTTAACTATTTGCAAGAGTAAAATTATGTTTGCTTGTTTGTGCTCCGCTGCTCCTTTATAAAGACAGCTTCAAATATTTACATTTATTTCTGTCTGTTTCTGATATTATAAATCTCAAAAATATCACGTTTGCTTCATAGTGGAGTTGCTGAATGGAGGATACGAGAACTGACTCAGGACAGTGGTAGATGTAGCCTCGAAGAGCAAGAAAGAATCTAGGTTCAGCCTATTGTGATGTCATTATCCCTCCTCTCTGTTCAGGTGTGTCCACACCTCAGGGCTTAACTTGAAATAAGCTACGCAAAATGAGCTACATCAATTGTGTAGCTTATTTCAAAATGGGAGCATCTACACGTCACTTATTTTGAAATAGAGCACTCTTCCTCCGATTCCCCTTACTCCTTGTACAATGAGGGTTACAGGAGTCGGAGTGAGAAGTCCTCCAGCTTGACAGTATTTTGATATTATTTCGAAATAACAGTCTGTGTCTACACAGCAGGCAAAGTTATTTCAAAATAACACTAGTTATTTCAAAATAATGTTGCTGTGTAGACGTACCCTTCCAGTCATTCAAGCAGAACCATTAGATTCTGAATCCTTCCTGGAACCTGCAAGCTTAAGTTTGTAAAACTTCCGTATGTGACTGTTGGCAAGGGCTAGATTCAAAAAGGGACTTAGGCACTGGGACGATGAGCATCACCAAGCCTAACTTTTAGGTGCCTAGAAATCACTGGGATTCAAACACCCAAGGTCAGCCTTCAGGCTTCCTGTACAATGACCGGAAAGCAATAGATGCTCACGAACAGGATTTACTAGCATGCTAGGCAGCACTCTGCCTAAAGATGGACAGTGGGAGATGCTGAGCACAGGTGTGCGTTCTAAGTCCTGCCCCTCTCAGGGAGTTCAGTGACTAAATCCGGCTTGAAGGGAGGCACCTTTCTTTGCTTGGTTTTCTCATATGTGAACCATTTCTTGGAGGTAGGGAGTTTTTTGCAAGAAGACCTGGAGCAGGAGGGTGGAGAAGCAGCTGGCTGCCTAAGACCTTGTGTGCTTTGATCTTCCCTGAAGGTTGGGAAAGTCACAGCTCAAGTTTCAGACTAGTTTGATGTAATTATACTAATCTAGCCGTCTGTCCAGTCCTTTAAGAGGACTGCAAAATCCTGCAAAATCAAGATGATCAAGGCTTAATATTTTAACATAAATCAGAGCAGGAAAAATAGGGGAAATAATTCTGAATTATACAGTATAATCAAGAACACAAATATATATTTACTGCATAAACTTTACTACAGGCTAGTGGCCTGATCCAAAGTCCACTAAAGATAGTGGGAGTCTTTCATGCGCTTCACTGAGCTTTGGATCAAGCCAATACGTCTTGTAGGCACAACCCACTATTGGAGTGGAGTGGATTTTTATTCAAACACCTACCTTCGACTGCAAATATATTGTCCCGAGTCCTCTAATGATGCTGGTAAAAACCAAAGAGCATCGCCTTGTGCCCAAATCCTTGGTTCCTCATCTCCTCCTGAGGTCATCATTTTTGAATCATTTTTAGACCATGTCAGGTTATATGGATGGCTGGAAAAGTCTAAGTGTTTGTATTTGAAGGAAGGGCATTTCAGGATCACAGGTTCTCCTCTCAGTGCAAAGTAGTGTTTGAAATGCATGATGTGATCCTGGCAATTTTCTACATAAAGCAGAGAAATTGTGTCACAACGGTTCCATTAGAGTCTCATTTTAAAACAAAATCATTGAAATAGGAAAACAAGTGCTCTAATTCAAATTTTTTATACGAATTTTGCCATTACCTGTGCTTTCTACCCGCTGGATTCTGAAGGCAGAGACATCCATTTTGTATGTACAGATAACCAGCAGGAGCATAGTCATCTTCCAGAAGAAACAAGAAGGAGAAAAGTGGGGAACAGCATCTTGAAGCCTGCAGGTGAGACAATCACATTTATAACAACACGCACAAGATAACGTAAGTGCCCTGCATCACTTCACATTGTATAACACATTTCAACGGCTACCTGCTCTTGCGCTCTCTCTTTTTGTCCCCTTGTTGCACCGAGCCTTCATAAAATCATCTGGGATGATTTAGTTGAGATTGGTTCTGCTTTGTGTAGGGGGCTGGAATCGATGACCTTATGATTCCAGCCCTATGATTCTAACACAAGTGTTCTAGTACAGTTTTGGAGATAGTGGTCATTGAGCTGTGTGGACTAACGAGAACAACAACATAGCAGCTTTTCATTATATGAAATGTCTTTTGAAATCCAGACCCGTTGCAGGGTACATTTCAATTGAGACTGAATCCTAGCTTCAAGGATGGATTTAGACTGGTTCTCAAATATCTCTGGCTATATCCATTGACAAGTAGAAATAAGTGCCCCACACAGTTACACAGAAACCATTCTGCAGAGCATCTGAAAATGCAAAAGTCCCAAAATCAGATTGTTTTAAACCATAGGCTTCATCAGACTCAAGTGACATACAGTTCATTGGCACCCTGGGACAAAGCAGTGAACATGATGTTTGAGCAAACACTGGTAAGAAAAGATGGTTCATGATGAGCCTCTGTCATCCTAGCAAGTGGACAATGATGATGTACGATGACTTCCTAGCTAATTAATGCCAATGGGAAAGTTGACAGGACTGTGTGCCATGTTATGCAGGTGGATGATAGCTGTGTGTATCTTTTTAGAGTCTTGCATTACTCCCATCACTGTAATCTCTCATAAGAGCCTGTTAATAGAAAGACAGGAAAAACTTAAAAAACAACCAATAGTCTAGTAGCACTTTAAAGACTAACAAAACATGTAGATGGCATCATGAGCTTTCATGGGCTAAACCCACAAGTTTTGTGGGTTATGCCCACAAAAGCTCATGATGCCATCTACATGTTTTGTTAGTCTTTAAAGTGCTACTAGACTATTGGTTGTTTTTTAAGTTTTTCCTGTTACAGACTAACTCGGCTACCCCTCTGAAGAATAGAAAGACAGTACTTCCAAAAACAAAAATCCTGATTAAAAGTAATGCTGAAGGAGGAAGGGGAGGGTAAATACTAAAAACCAAGCCACTTTGCAAAAATGGATGTTATTGGGATGGCAGTGGAGAGAAAAATATTCAACATCTTTTGAATGGCAGAACATTTCCTGTTAATACCTTAGGTCTATTTGGGAGGATCCTCTCCGCCGAGAACAGTGCTAGCAGGTCTCAACACACTGAGTACAGGTAAAAATGGCATGTCAAGGGGAACAGCTATGGTTAGTCTACACTGCAATGAAAGACCTGCAGTGCGGCTGCTGCAAGACAAGTAACTGTATAATGTACACATCTAACTTCATGAGTCCCCACAAATCATGAATTAGTGAGGCTCCTCTGGCACAAGGCAAAGGGAAGAAGGGAGTAATGGTCAGTTTAGTGTTAACTGAAGAGGCAAAGAGGAAAAGTCTCTTAGGGGTAAGTGAAATATGAATAGAAGACTTTCTTTAAGAGATTAGAAGTGTCCAAGAGCTTACATTTGGTATATTTGGGATTCGGGTTACTTTGATCCAGTCCACCCTTAGTAAGCAGTAATCGCTAACTTACACTGGTTCGACAAACAGAAACATTGACTTGTCCCTTCACTGTGAAAGAGGAATGGTCAAATGCTGCATATACTGTAAGAACATAAGAACGGCCATACTGGGTCAGACCAAAGGTCCATCCAGCCCAGTATCCTGTCTGCCAACAGTGGCCAACGCTAGATGCCCCAGAGGGAGAGAACACACAAGGTAATCCTCATGTGATCCCTCTCCTGTCATCCATTTCCAGACAAACAGATGCTAGGGACACAATTCCTACCCATCCTGGCTAATTGCAATTGATGGACCTAACCTCCTTGAATTTATCTAGCTCTTTTTTGAACCCTGTTAAAGTCCTGGTTGTCACAACCTCCTCTGGCAAGGAGTTCCACAGGTTGACTGTGTGCTGTATGAAAAAAAAAGTCTTTTTGATTGTTTTAAACCTGCTCTACTTATTAATTTCATTTGGTGACCCTTAGTTCTTATATTATGGGAACAAGTAAATAACTTTTCCTTATTCATTTTTTCCACACCAGTCATGATTTTATAGATCTCTAGCATATCCCCCTTTAATCTTCTCTTTTCTAAGATGAAAAGTCCAAGTCTTTTTAATCTCTCTTCAGATGGGACCCATTCCAAGCCCCACTCATTTTTGTTGCCTTTCTCTGAACATAGAAAACAATTGCATCTCCCTAGCAGTCACTACAGTAGATAGCTAAAACTCAGCCAAATGGAAGTCTGAGGAGATCAATATTCAGAATGTAAAGCTTCAAATCCAGTTGCTTGGCTAGCACACTTGATATCAAAATTGTGCACATACTTAGACTCATTTGTTACCAGAAAAATCCCATATGGGTGAATGAGCTTAGCCAGAATTCCAACAAAGTTCTGCTGCTTATGCCCCATATCCATGCAAATACAGTTTCACTCACTTGTTGTTGCTCCCAGACAACCTACTATTATCTCTGTGAGGACCAAAGAAGGGATTCATTCAAATTCTCATGTTGAATGGTGGCTATATCACTGAAGTGGTCTCTCTTCCTGCAACTTGGCCCTCCAGCCAGGACACACTTTAGTCCAATCTTTGCAGGGTTTCAAAGAGTCGACTTTAAGACTTTAAGGTCAGATGGGACCATCAAGATTATATTGTCTGACCTTCTATACAGTGCAGGCCACAGAACCTCACCCACCCACTCTTGTCACATGCCCCTAAACTCTGGTTGAGTTAATGAAGTCCTCAAATCATGGTTTAAAACCTTGAAGGCACAGAGAATCCTCTATTTACCCTAGCTCAAAGCAAATGACCCATGCCCCTCCCTGCAGTGAAAGATGAAAAACCTTCAGGATCTCAGCCAACGTGACCTGGGGAAAACTCCTTCCCAACTCCAATATGATCATCAATTAGACTCTAGATATGTGCTCAAGACCCACTTGACAAGACACCTGAGAACAAATTCTCAGAACTGACTCAGAGCCCACCCTATCTAATGCCCCAACTCTGGCTGTTGGGAGAGATTTGCCGGTAGCAGTCACAGATGGTCATATGCCATTGTGGGCCATCTTATCATACCGCCCCTTCCATACACTCATTAAACTCAATCTTAAAAGAAATTAGGTTTTGTTTGAACTCACTACTTCTCTCTGCTGACTTGTGGCACGAGAAGGTCTGGCTGGACTATCACATAGAGACAGCTGCTTTGCTAGTCTTTTCATTTCATAAGATCGATACAACCAGCCACCGAGTCTGGCAGCCCCTACAGCTTTGATAGAATCACTCACAACAAACATGCCAATGATGAGTCAGCATTTTAGGGGGCTTCATTTGGGACATACAACTTTGCTGCCGAATCACATGCACACCAAAGTTTCAGTGCGTTCATTGTGTGTGCCCATAGGTTTTCAGCATGACAATTATCGTTGGTGCATTCAGGTTATTGGGAGCAAAACTCACATACAAAGTTTCACTCCCATAAGGAGAAACTACTTTAATTGTCTGAGCCAGACACACAGAAAAAAACAATTTCAACTAGAATGGATATGATCCACTGCCACTCACTGGTCACCATACATGCTGACTTAGCAAGGGCATGGTGTAGTTTCTCTATACATATATACCAATACTAGGGAACTGTTTCTCATCTCACACTAGTTTTAAATTGGTGAAATTCCATTGATTTCAACGGGGTTCCTCTTGATTAACTGTGTACACACAATATAGAATAGACACATACTATATATATTACATGTACACACACACACACACAGTATACAATCCACCGCCATTCTAGGTTTAAATAAAAATATGCTATACACACACACACACACACACACACACACACACACACAATATATATATATATAGACTAAGATTCTTCTAATGTTGCCAATCTGTTTATTCAGACTTTATCCTTTTTGCTAGCTCAGTTTAGGTAACAACTGTTGGTTTGACAGTAACACTGCATTCTGAAGATAGGGCTATTTGCCTTCTTGACAGAGTTAACAAAAACAAAACACTGTAACTGAAAAGAAATACTGTATTATTGCAAACATCGCTTAATATCTCCCCTGCTTTTTTGGAAGGGGCAGGGGAGTTCTTGAATTAGCAGTTCCTAAGATACACATGACATCCTAGAGTAAGGTTTTCTCTCTTTCCTTTTAATTATTTGCCCAATGAAAATACTTTGCTGCTTTGTTCACCTATTTAAGTTCCCTCTATTTTGCTGTCCAGCAGCTTCCACAAACCAGTAGACAACTTGTTTCTTTTTTTGCTTCTCATTTACTTACCTCTGATTCTGCATTCTTTTGCCCAGTGGCTTCTCTTGTAGAGCTGTAAGCAAAGCTTTCATGTAGCATTGGAAGGGTCCTAGTAGATGGCTTTATATGCCACTCAACACACAACGGAAATGCTTTCACATTGGGCAATCAGCTTTGTGTCAAAACCAAATGCTTTTTGGACACACCTTTCTCATTCAAATGAATGAGAATGAGAGAAAGGGGGTGGGGAAAAAAGGGGAGATTTCCCAAACAGGGGAAATGACTGCTACTAAATATGTTTCTACGTTTCCCTTTTTGTGACGAACAATAATTTACTTATGTCCTGTTTATGGTGAGTTCAGCTGGTAGTTTTATATACTAATTTACCACAAAAAATACACAATGTATTTAACAACCAAAGTCTATGATTTTTTTCTCCTTTGTCTTCAGTCAGTTTTGAAACAGAACCCAAATGGACATTCCTCCATGCTCTTGAGTTTTTTTGCTTTTTGTGATATTTGAAATTTGTGAATAAAAAAATGGGTCATTTTTTTAAAATTTTGCCTATTTAGTCTATAACATTGACAGTAGGTTTTGTTTGTCACACTTCATACTAAAGTTCTATTTATAAATGGCATATATGGGTTAAATGAGGAATATGTAAAGCCAACGGATGGTGGTCAGCAGCAGGAGGGACTAAGCCTGGTACCCTAGAGGTTAAAGCCATGTGCCTCTCCAGCATGAGCTAAAAGCCAGCTGCCTCTCAGCTAAGGTCTCAGGCTTCCTTTCTTAGTGGCCTCAGTGCCTGCAGGTTACAAACAG